AAAAAAAAAAAAAAAAAAAAAAAGAATACATTGGATTTCAGAAGTATTTACCCTAGTAATTTTTAAGAAAGCTTACCGTAAATATTTCCTAAACCAACAGGCTTTACAAAATATTGTACAATGTCCTGTGTATAGGAGTAAACATCTATTCAGGCTGTCAAATTCTGTTCAGTAATTTGTTTCCGGTGTACCCTTTCATCTCAGAAGGTCAACAATGATCTGAATTCTTCTTTACCTAATGATCTCATTAGCCTGCTTTTAACAGTGGAAGAAACTGATACAGGCTTGAAGTCAACTGGTTCTCCTGAAGTCTCATAGTTTCAATTATGTTTCAACATCATGTTGTTGTGCACTTACAGAAGCAATCTCTCAGTCATGAAAAATAAAACATCAGTTGTGGGGCTTACAAAGTAAAAAGGGAAATTCTTTCCCAAACCCTTTTTTGTTTAAAAAATTAAATTAAATTTAAATGTACAAGACCAAGCACAGGCACTTTCTAAAAACCAAAAATGAAGCCAAACCATGAAATTACTCAATGGTTATAGAAGACAGCTCTGATTTGGGGGGGTCATCTCTGGTTGCCTCGGCACAAGCACTGGTCTTTGGCTGCTCTGGCATTTCTTCCTCTTTTTCTGCCAGCCCACCAAGAGACCCCAAGGGGAAAGTGCTTTCACAATTCTGGGTCGAGGAGACCTGTGAAATTACAGGCATTTGAACAGAGGAGTTGCTTTCAAAACTGTGTTCTCCAAGATCATACTGAACAAGGGTCTCTTCTTGCTCCTGGTTTAAGTAGTCCGGTACTAGGAAATCACTAGATAAGAGGCAAAGGATGAAAGAGGGAGTTAATTTTCAAACCAGTAATAAATTAGCCACAATAAAAAGACCTGATTTGTAAAACAAGATTGGGATTTTTCATTTCTCTAGTTCTTGACTAATTATAACTCAGGATATTCAAATTTCTAAGCTTTCCTAAATATGAACCCAAGCCATCCATCAGAACCAAAGTATATGAACTCTAATATCAATAGGATTAATTATCACCTTCATTGTCACTTTAGACCCCTAAGCAGCCTTTCTTGTTCTATGTAGAAGAGTTTCTGTATACAATTAGCATGCTCACTTAAGCAAATATCATTTGAATAACTTATGCTTAACTTTTCTTGGATTATATGCTAATTAAGAGGTATATAAACCTAACTTTTTATTACTTCCTGGATATAAGTTAGTTAAGAAACTAAGTCCTTATGCATAAATGACAGTATACATAATGTACTATATAGAGAAATATAAAGAATAAGTTATGTGTATCCTGCTATTAGATTTAGTATATGAAAACAATAAATTCCATTTGAAGTAGGATTTGAAAATGAATGCCATGAGATCAGTTATATATTAGTCCTAAGAAAGTATTTATTAATACTGAAAATATTTAATATTGTATTGATAGGATTAAATATTTAATTATTAAATATGGAGAGTAAAATATACCAAAATTTTAACAACAGTGGATATTAATCCTGAGTGGTGAGATCAGAAAGTATTTTAATTTCTTATATTTTATACTTTCCTACATTTACTAAGTTTTCTACTATAACATTTTTTGTAGTTAAAGCAAACATAAAATATCTCTTAGATGCTTTAATTAAATCTTTATTGCTGGACTTAAAAAGTTCGTTCTACTAGGAATGTTAATAACTGATACATTTAAGAAGGTGGTTTCATTGTCTGTCCAGTATTAATAAAAAAATTAAAATATGTTCATTTGCAAAACAATTTAAAATGTCCTATGTTTTATTTTTTAAGAAGTCTTCAGGTGTTAGACAGGAAGAACAGAGGACAGAAGGGTATGTACAGGGAAGATACAGGCAATAGAAGTGGTTAACTATGACACTATCTTAGTTCTGGACAAACGATGTTTGATATGATATGTATAATTTAGGTTTCGTGAGATGACAACCAGACACTCAGACATGAGTAAACAACATGAATGTCAGGTCTGAAGAGGAAAAAAAATCTGCAGGAATAGTTTGGAATTTATTGAAAAGTAAGATTTAAGAACTAAAGATGGTTTAAAATTTAAGTTTAGGAAGATTTCATTTTATAAAAAATTAAGGATTCCTACAGATGTACATATTTGATAAAGTATTAAAAAAAGACAACAGTGGGGCGCCTGGGTGGCGCAGTCGGTTAAGCGTCCGACTTCAGCCAGGTCACGATCTCGCGGTCCGTGAGTTCGAGCCCCGCGTCGGGCTCTGGGCTGATGGCTCAGAGCCTGGAGCCTGTTTCCCATTCTGTGTCTCCCTCTCTCTCTGCCCCTCCCCCGTTCATGCTCTGTCTCTCTCTGTCCCAAAAATAAAATAAATGTTAAAAAAAAAAAAATTAAAAAAAAAAAAAGACAACAGAGTTTTATATTTAGAGACCTCTGAAAATGACCTTTAAAGCTTACATTTTATCGGTCTTTATGCTTCAGGCTTCTTCATTTGTAAAGAGACATGTTCAGTCATAATACTAGTTAGTGGCAGAGTCAGAACTAAAACCTGACTTCCTTAGATACTCTATAAATCAGAAAGGAATTCTATCATAAATTATTAATGAAAAGCATGAGCTTTAAATTGAAAGAAAAAGGAAATTTAATTGAAAATAATCATATCCATTATAGTTACTGTTGAAGTTCTTTTCTTTATTGGTAAATATATATCCCTTTATATAGAATTAAAAAAAAAGAGAAGTGGTGAAAAGTTTTGACATCCAAAGAGTCTGAATTAATCCAGTACCACTAAGAATCATCTAACACGGTAAAATTTCCAATAAGGTCTATATTACTTTAAGCTTAATTATTGAAAATACAAAAAACTAAAACCCAAGAAACAAAAAAGACAAAGCAAGAGGTAAGTAGTCTACTTCTGTAGGGAAAAATTTCCAATACCAACTAGAAAAATATTTATAATTGTATATACCTAGAAGATCCAGCAAAATTGTATCAGATCAGGAGATGAGAGTATGGACAGTGGAAATTTAAAAGGAACGTGACTGAGCAGCCAGCAACCTGATAAGCATAGCAGGCCGCCCTGACAGCAGGGAAAGAGAGTTTAGTAAGCGGTTTTCCTGGCTCGTTTTTGTTGTGCGCCTCACCTGCTCTGGAAGTAGTTTGCTAGCTCTGACGCTTCATGGTTCAGACTCCTCAGGTGCACGATTAAATTTCCAGAGTTGGTGAACATGGCGCCACATGTTTTGCACTCGTAAATCCGAGGCTTGCGGATAATGTGCCGGGAAACCCTCATGTGGTGTTTATATTCCCCGAAGGAAGTGAAAGTGGCACTACATATCTGGCACCGGAAACAGCGTTTACCTTCATGCTTTAGGCGATGCATCTTTAGCGAGTAAGCCCTGGTGAACTTTTTCCCACAGCGGTCACACTGAAATGGTTTAATTCCTACAAAATAAGGCAGAACAAAGTATTATCTAAAAACAAAATAAAGTGAAAGGTGACAAACCTCACAAATTTCTGAGCTACAATTTTGTAGCAACAGGCAATTTAAAAAGGCAAAAATCACCAGCAAAAATGGATTCCAATTCAACATCTCAGAAAAGGTACAGAACATTTGAAAAGTCACTAGGGCTTTAAAAAAAAAAAAAAGGGCATTAGAAGGAGAGGTGAACTAGTTAATATATACTCAAGTTGATTTCTGAATATTCTTCTAAATCATCTATTTTACAGACTTCAAAACATAACCACAGTATTTAAACAGAATCAAATCCCCATAAAACATCATTTCATTAAAGTAGTAAAGTTTATATTGAAAAGATGTGAAAATGTACCCACTCTTCATTACCTGAGAAATGAGAAGAAACATCTCTGAACATAATAATCATGTTAGAACTATCATTTGGTGAATTGGATTTATGGGCATATTATGTAAAGTGATAGAAAAAATATGTAGAAACTAATATGTGAATTATGAAGTATATTAGTTATCTCTTCAATTATCATAGTTTTAGCAAAAAAAAAATTAAAAACCTTCAAAATACAATCTGTTGATTTAAGTCATAGGGAACTGATATTATTAGCTCAGGGACTATTAGACCTATCTACAGAAGAGGAAAGCAAGATGACAACACAGCTGAAAACAGGAGCAAAGATTTCCTATACTCATCAGAGGTGTACCCACAAGAATTTTGTTGCCTTTTTGTGATCACTAAACTTAAATTTCAAATGTTTTACATGTAATTTATTTAAAATCTTTTATCCTAAAAAATGCTGCAAAGCTGATTAATCAGGGCACAGAGAAATTTTAGGATGGCAGAATTAAAATTAAATTTTAAATAATTAAATTTTAAATAATTAAATGTAAATTTCTAAAAACACTTCTTATTTGGAAATAATTCCATTCATAAAGAGTAGTTACAAGAATAGTACAAAGAACAGCAATAAATACCCTTTTAGTTCCATTTGCTCTACCATCTGTACCTGTGCTTCTCTATCACACATATATACACACGCCTAATATACCCAGTGCCTTTCATTTATGTCTACACATACACCCCACCAAGTTTTAATCCGAATACTTATGCCTGTGGCAAATGTATTAAACAAATAGCTTTCTGACACTGTACCATTTTACCAACAGACTTAGGCTTATCTGATTCTCAGAGACATATTTTTTAAACTCAGAAACATCTGTTTTCTATTTTTAACTGAGATTCCAAATGTAATGTTTCAAGTACTCATTTATGCAACAGTAGGGAAGACAACATTACCTGAGTGGATGAGCATGTGCTGTTTTAGGTTCTGAATACGGGTGAATCGTACCCCGCAAGTTGGACACTGAAAAGGTCTATCTGGACCGTTTGGACTTGGTCGTTCCGTACTGCTGGTAGAAGGAGCTATGTAGAGTTGGTAGGGATACTGAACATTTTCCAATCTAAAAAAAGACCAAAGGAGGGAGGAAGATTCTGATTTTTAAGCTGAATAAACATTTCTGCACAACTTTAATGAACAAAAGAAAAAAATGACTTTTTGAGAGTTTAACTGTTAAAAGTTCCATTTATAGCAATATGAAAAACAATGCTGAATTGTCCAGAATGTCCAACATCCTAAGGACATACTATCACAGAATGTATCATAAATGGTTTTACCTTAGAAATTCTTAATCTCTTTAATCCTTTCCTTCCTACTACTGCTTTAATTTAGGCCCTTATCAACACAAGGTTGAATTAGTAACTCCCTCTCTTTAGCCCCCAACCCCTCCAATACATCCTTCTGTGTCACAGTGATCTGATTAAATCAACACCCATTTTAAAATCCTGCAATGGCTGTTACCTTCAGAATAAAGTCTGAACACCTTTGCAAGGCATACAAACCTCCTCATGTTCTGGGTTGTGTACTTTTCCAGCCTCATTTCTTCTCATATTCCCCAAACATACCAAATACCAAGCAGTTCCTTCCTAATAGTTCTCTCTCAATGTTGTCCTTTTGTTCATTTAACTGATGATGATGCTCTTTAGAGATGGGTATGACTGGATAAGCGAGGTTTAGAAGGGGAGTTAGAGGTCTTGGCCATGTTAAGTCTGAAATGCCCTTATATATCTATGTGGAGATAGATACGAAGCAGGGAGGGACAACTCTAAGATAATGACCTGGGATTTATGGGCAAAGAGATGAGGATTTGGCAAACTTTTTCTGTAGTAGGGCAAACAGTAAATATTTTTCACTTTGCACACCACATGATCTCTGTTTCAACTACTCAACTCTGCTATCCAGACAATACGTAAACAAATGAGCACAGCTATATTGGAACACCTGATTTACAAATAAAGGTGGTAAACTGGAATTGGCCCACAGTTCACCAACCTTTAGATACTATTTAAAATACTACTTGGGGGGGCGCCTGGGTGGCGCAGTCGGTTGAGCGTCCGACTTCAGCTCAGGTCACGATCTCGCGGTCCGTGAGTTCGAGCCCCGCGTCGGGCTCTGGGCTGATGGCTCAGAGCCTGGAGCCTGTTTCCGATTCTGTGTCTCCCTCTCTCTCTGCCCCTCCCCCGTTCATGCTCTGTCTCTCTCTGTCCCAAAAATAAATAAACGTTGAAAAAAAAAATTTAAAAAAAAAAAATAAAAATAAAATAAAATAAAATACTACTTGGGGCGCCTGGGTGACTCAGTCGGTTGGGTGTCCAACTTCGGCTCAGGTCATGATCTCATGGTTTGTGGGTTTGAGCCCCGTGTCAGGCTCTGTACTGACAACCCAAGAGCCTGGAGCTTGCTTTGGATTCTGTGTCTGATGCTCTGTCTGCCCCTCCCCCACTTGTGCTCTGTCTCTCAAAAAAAAAAAAAAATAAATGTAAAAAAAAATTTAAAAAACTACTTAAAAGTGATCATTATTTAGATAGATACTAGATATAGATACTATTTAAAAATGATAGGCCTGAGCAGTTTTAAAATGCCGAATAAACCTTGTATAGGTGGTCTACTTTATGATGTAATAATGCTACCTCTTTACTTTCAGAGAGAAAATGAGGTACCCAATAAACTACTTATGTAATTCCAAGTTAAAATGTTTGAATTTACAGTTGCAAGTACATCCTCCCCCTTTTAAAGTTTATTTTATTATTGAGAGACAGAGAGAGAAAGAGAGAGACCAAGAAAGAGCATGTGCAAGGGGGTGGGGGAAGGTGGAGAGGGAGGGAGAGAATCCCAAGCAGGTTCCATGCTCAACATGGAGGCAGACTTGGAGCTTGATCCCATGACTGTGAGGTCATGACCTCAGCTTATATGACACTTAACCAACTGAGCCAACCAGGTGCCTCACAAGTACACCCCTTTATAGAAAATGACAGACTATGTTGGTACTAACCGATCATCATCATCTGCATGAGCATTAGTGCTAGAAGTGTTTTGAAGCGTAGGTAACCCTTCAGTGACACCTTCATCTACCGAACCTGTGAATAAAAGGAAAAAAAAGAGGATAGCAGTCAATACTTTGGTATATATAAGCCAAGCTATTAACTGCAATCTGTATCTCCAAGCCCATAAAACAAAGAATATAAAGAAATCTTTAAAAATAAACTGTATGTAAGACAACAGTCTTATATTACTATTTAAATTCTTTTAGGAGTGTTTCTTTGATAGAAATTTCAGAAACAAGCAGACAAATTCAAATGTAAACAAAAATTCACATAAAATTAAATAATGTTATAACAATCATTTAAGGAAGTACTCTATTTTTGAAAACTTTATTGTGACATAGGACTTACTATACATAGAATTTTTATGTAGAATTAAAAAGACAGCTATAAAGTGAATGCCTCCTTGCGCAACCTCCACACAAGTTCCACTAATACAATGCCAGCATCCTAGAAGTCCCCATTTACCCCTCCCTCCCTAATCACAAACCCTTCCTTCCAAGAGGTAACCACTCTGCTGTCTTTTTTTTTTTTTTATCATTATTTCAGTCCCTTTTTTCTTGACCCTCTTCCTTTTAAAAGTAATTTTATCTCCAACACATGTACCTATAAACTAGAGGTTGGTTCTTGCTGGAACACAGCCACGAACCATCTAGGGCTGCTTTTACACCACAGTGGCAGAGTGGAATAACTGCAGTTATGACAGAGGCCATGTGGCAGCTAAGTCTAAAATATTTACTACCATGCCCTTTAAGGGTAATTGGCAACCCTCACCATCAACATACAGTTTAGTGTTACTGCCTGCAAGCTTTATATAAATTGAGTTACACTATATGTATTCTTATCTCCTCTTTCCTTCAGTATTATGAAGTTTAAACAGTTTGTAATATTCATAATCTATCCATTTCACTTTTTTTTTTTTAATTTTTTTTTAACGTTTACTTATTTTTTTGGGACAGAGAGAGACAGAGCATGAACGGGGGAGGGGCAGAGAGAGAGGGAGACACAGAATGGGAAACAGGCTCCAGGCTCTGAGCCATCAGCCCAGAGCCCGACGCGGGGCTCGAACTCACGGACCGCGAGATCGTGACCTGGCTGAAGTCGGACGCTTAACTGACTGCGCCACCCAGGCGCCCCTATCCATTTCACTCTTAATGATGGGCAGTGCCAGGCTATTATGAACAATGCTGCTGTGGGTATTCTTGTACAAGTAACTTAATACACAATACATACATGCATGCGTTTTCTAGGATACCTATACTTAGGAATGAAATTGCTAGATCATAGGCTACGTTTATCTGACTTCATTAGAAAGTGCTAAACTCTTTTCCAAAGTGATAGTACTAAATTTACATCACTATTTCCAGTGTATGAGAGTTAGGTCATTCTATACCTCATCAACACATGGTACTGTCAGATTTTTAAAATTTTGCTAATTTGGTGGGTGTGTAGCAATATTTCATTTGTGGTTTGTGTTTTATTTCCCTTACTACCAATGAGGTTGAGCACTTTTTCATATATATACTGAACCCCGTGGTGGGTGAAATGCCTGTTTGAGGCTTGTTATTCAGTTGTTTGCTTTTTACTATGAGTTTTTTTTTTCCTTCGTATTTCAGTAATACAGGTTACAAATATTTTTGCCTCTTCCATGGCTTATCTTTTTACTCTTCTGATGACCAAACATTTAAATTTTATTATTTTTTAAAAATAGGATTACTATGTATGTCAAGAGTTTTAACATTAAAATTTTTTTTAATGTTTTATTTTTGAGAGAGAGAGCATGAGCAGGGGAGGGGCAGAGAGAAAGGGAGACACAGAATCCAAAGCAGGTTCCAGGCTCTGAGCTGTCAGCACAGAGCCTGATGTGTGGCTTGAATTCGTGAACCATGAGCTCATGACCTGAGCCAAAGTTGGACGCTTAACTGACTGAGTCACCCAGGTGCCCCTAAAAATAGTATTTTCCTTTATGGCTGTGGCTT